CCCCAAAACCCCAAAACCCCAAAACCCCGTCAATATGAATAATAAAAAATTTAAGAAAAGTAGTAAATTTATCTATATCGATTAATATTTAAGAAACAACATTGTAATAATTTAGGTTTTATATTTTTCTTGAAATATAATGAATGAAAAAGAACTTCTCGCTTATAAAGAGCTAATAAGTGACTCCTTGATAGACAAGTATAATGAATTTTCAAGCATCTTTGATATCGATAGCCACGAAGTTGATCACCTAAAGTAAAACTTGTCTTTAGAGGACTTTGCTTTATATCCTATTTAAAAACACTCAAAAGCAAGAAATAAGAGAGGAATTTCAACCAGAAGACCATCAAGCAGTGAATAAGTAAATTTCCAAAAGTATGTAGAGCTAATTAACAGGGGTATAAATGAGGCTTTCGAATCTATATAAAATTAGATGGTCCCAAATTATCAACCCTCTTCAGTAAAAGGGGAAAGTAGTCTTAATTTTTCTTTTACAAGAAGAAATGTATTTGAACATCTAACTAAAGAAGAGGTTGAAATGAAGTTAAAAGAGACTATTGAGAAATTACAATAAAAAGATGATCTGACTAATATTCTGAGAAAAGACTATCTAAAGGAGGTTAACCATCTCAGAGAGATAAGTGAATAATTGGTTAGAGGTCGACTCACACAAAAAGGAAAGGACTATCTTAATGTGCATTTTTTTTCATTCACTGAAGGTTTAGATGCAAAAGTTTGTGATGTTTTAAATTTGAGACTTCAGTAGGTAGCTGATGAATATAATTCGAAACTAGCTGATTACGATGTTAAGATTTCAAGTCTTGAAAATGTTATAAATAAATATAAAAAACTGGCTCCAAAAGGTAAAACTTAATAAATTGTTGTAACTACTTTTAATAGCTTTTAAATTGATGGAGATGAGCCTCGAAGAAATCTTCTCATCTTTGAGTATCATTGAGTAAGAAGCTAGTAAAATATGGACATCTCTGACTAATTCATATCCAGCTGGACACTTTGATGGAGTTATAGAAGACACATATGGTACGTTTTTGGATGATGAGGCAGAATAGGAGATCGGTAGGTAGGTGTAGAAACTTAGAGAAGTCAGTGAGAAAGAAGTGAAAAAGGTTTCAGACAGGTTATGTACTTAAATTAGAGAACTGGAACTCCAACTAAGAAACCGAATAGATGAAAACATCAAGCTAAGGGATCAATTTAACTATGAAGTCAGCGAACTTAAAGAAGAGCTGAAAGATTATTACGAGATGATGCTGAAAGAGAAGGAGAGAATATTGGTTTAGAAAAATCAGACAGATATTAAGGGTTATGAATATCTAGCGGATAAACATAAAAAATAAAAGGAATTAATGACATCAGAGATCGAATGCTTGTAAAAGGAGGTCTTCATACTAAAGCTACGAGTAATATCAAAGATAATAGTAAAGTATAAAGAGGATAATCATTTTGATGAGGAGCATCAGCAAGTTGAGAGAAATAAGTTATTCTATGATAAGATAAGGAATTTAGTTCTTGGGAGTGAAAATAGCAGATTATGTGCTTTGCTCGAACTGAGAAGAGATATGTTGAAGGATTATAAGGAGAAACATGATCATTGTGCCTAGGAACTCTATGCTTTGAGACTTAAGGTTAATGTAAGTCAATTTACAACTCTAATATTTTAGTCTAAAATTGATGATACGGATTCAATGAGTAAACGGCTTGGAGAGTTACAGAGTTAAGTCTCTGTAAATTTTGTCTTTCTAAATACAGTTAGATCAGAACTCAGAAAAATAAAACATGAAGTAAGTATTAAATTAACTTATATGAGATGGTTTTAGAGAGATATCCTAATTGACACTTCCCGATCTTAACTATAGCTTATTGCAAATCTAGAATCCTAAAAACGACAGCTTGAAGATAAATACAATGTCAACATTTCAAAGCAAAGAAAGACAGCTTATTCCTATAAGACTATTTAGGAGAAGACTATGGAAAGATTTTTAACAGAAAATGAGATATCTTTCAATACCTCCTCACTTCTTATTAACTCAGATGAACTGAAGTAGATGAGAAAACAAACAATATCTAAAGTTGATGTTTAGGTTTAGACATTCCTTAAGAATGTAGAATTTCAGATTGGCTATGACACTACTCTACTTAACAAGCAAAAGATTAATGCTTCAGATGGAACTAAATTAGATTAGTCTATTCAAACTAAGGTAAAAATGGACTAATTTGATAGTATGATCAAGAAAAAGCAGAAAGAGCAAGACAGGCTTGAGAAAGAGCTTGCCAGATATAAAAAAAAGAATAAGAAAGATCCAGAAAGCAGAGATTCACAGAGGCTAAGTCAGGATTCCAATAACCTTGAGGATATTATTAACAGAAAGAATTCTCTTAAATATGATAAGCAGCCTTCTCTAAATTAAATTCAACTTTAAAGGAGGAATACAAGGCAAATCATTAGTCCATCTGTTATTAGAACATCTGCTGAACTATCTCGTAGGAACACTATAATTCCTAATCAGTTTGGCGGGTTAAGTGGATTAACTGCTAAATCAGCACCTTCAAAATCAAAAGTCGGCAATAACATTATGAATAATACAATGCCATTGCCTCAAAAAAAATCAATGCCATAGACAACTGTCACAAGAAGTGGAACCAAACTAGCTTCAAATAAAAGTTCTAATAGCAATATAAAAAATGAGTATAAAAATCAGAATTAAAATAAGATAACAGAAGACGATGAAGAAGAGGAAATATCAGCAAGAGCAAGAAGATAAAAAACCACTAGACAGATTCAAAAGAATGCCAAAAATAAGAAGATATCTTTCAAAAGATCCACTGACAGTGATTATGATATGGAAGTCCCTAATCGAGAATCAGTTTCTAGTTCTGAGGGTGATGGAACAGTCAGTAGTAAAGCAAAGCCCTATTACAAGAAATCATAAGACTCATTTAAAACAGATGAGGAACCAGAATCAGTTAAATCTAGAAATGCCTAATCAAAATTAAAAAGCCCAATAAATAGATAACAGCAAGCCAGAAAATCTGTTAAAAAGGGGGTACCTAATGTGAAATCAGCGTTTTCAAAAACTGAACTCTAATAAAGAGCTGAAAATTTCTAATAAGCATACAACCAGTCCCATATTTTTGATTAAACGTATGAATCTAATTCACCTCCTCCAGTCAGATAAGACTCTGCTATTTACATATCATTTGATGCTACGATAGTATTCGATCAAGAAAAATACGAGAGAGCCCTTTAGTACCTTAGAACTAAGAATAAACTAAGATAATTGTCAAGAGGACTTGATCCGAGACTGTATCCAAGAGATTAACCAGCAGTGTTTAAAAGACTCTCTCCTAGAAATTCTACAACAAAGCTCGATAGATACTTATAAGAACTAACTCATATGAACCAATAATCCTGGATTTATAGACTAGATGGAGTCAATCATTTGGCAAAAGATGCAAAAGCAATTATTGAGAGTGAAGGATTAATAAAGACAATGAATAAGCTAGTTAAGTTGGGAATTGATTAAAAAAAGCCACTTTCAACATCAGATTAATCATCTTTTATGAAAATTAAAGGCTTTAAGAAGCAAAATATAAGCGAAGTCAGCACAGTTCATCCTCACAATATTATTAGAAGTTAAATGATGAGCGAGCTAAGAGTCCAAAGTCGAGACTCAAATTCTCTTATTATTAAGGACTAAATGAATACTACCTCTGAAAATGCAATATTGCTTCTTAGAGATAGAAGGGACTAAATAAAGCTAAAAAATAGGAAAAATAAAAACTTTTCAAATCAAATAAGTGACAAATCAGAAAATTTTCAATCTAACTTAATCAGCTCTAAGTATGCCACCACATAGATAAGTCCAGATTAAATAAATAAATAGTCAAGCTAATCTATTTAAACTCATAGAATAAAGAAAAATACAAAAACAAGGAATCATGATAGAGATGCCTTGAATTAAACTACTACTAGAATTGATTCAACAGCATTCAAGATTCACCGAGATAGAAATAACAAGACTGCTTTGATGAGTAGCTTTATTTAGTCTTTGGAATCTCAGTAGAATCCAAGAGACTTTGGTTCATTTAAAATAGGTTGTGACAGCTCCACACTCGAACACCATCAAAATTAAAACATTGGAAGGAATATGCCAGAAATCAAGATTATAGATAATGAATTCAGCAATATGAACATCAGTGACTTTCCTAGCCCAGTCACCACAGAGCCTTCGTAGAATGCTAACAGAAGGTCCATGATGCTCAAAAGAATGAGTTATCAATAACCACGTACTGTTGAAAGAATCATTAAAGATCTTGGAATGAAGGTAGCTATTGAGACTAATCCTGTACCAGCAACGACTCTACCAACCAGCATGCACCAAACACCTGGCTAAAGTGCAAAAGCTATCTAGAATATAAGTTAGAATAGAGGTGGAGGTGGTGATCATAGACCAAAGATTAGGAAGTGATTTTATAAGTATACACTCTAATCTTTATTTTTAAATATGGTTGAATATCATAATAATATAAACAGTAGTAATCACACAATTAATTTTTAGTTTGATTTGTAGCGGACATTTGGCACATACTACTCATTAGTTGAGAAGTCTGCTTCCTAGAAGGCCATAATGTGCGCCCCAAACGGCGGAGGCATTCTCTATTCAAATTAAGAGTTTACTCCGTGGCATGTTGGTGCGCTTAATCACATATTTAATAACTATTTTATTTATTAATTATAATCTATTTATTTCACCCACTATTTATATTCATGGGGTTTTGGGGTTTTGGGGTTTTGGGGTTTTGGGG